CCCAAAGAGAATGCCAGCACAGCCAAGAGACTCTGGGGCACTGAGGAGCTGGATGGAGGGGGTTTGTGTGTTTCTTTCAACGGAGGTTGGAAGAAAGGGCGGGGGGTGGGGGGTTGGCCAGAGATTTCCGGAGGCACAAATCAACTGCTAAGAGTAGGAAGAACACCCTCCTTAGATGCTGGACAAAGAAGTAGCCCTTTTTCTCTCCACCCTCAACACTATGTCTGGCGCCTTCCACGGGACAGAGAGAGCTGCGACGTGTCCTGAAATGGATGTGCTGGGCAGTCCAGCACGGTGCCGGGAAATCCCTATAAAATGAAGGGAACAGACATTGCGGGGAGCCAGGAGAGGGGACCTACCCGGAGCCTACCAAGCCCCAGGTGCCTTATCACAGGACCTCATTCGTTCTTCCCTGATTCCTAGGGGAGCAAAGTTCTTCCCCTTCTTTTACAGAAAGTGATGGCTCCAGCGGCTCAGAGAGGTTAAGCAATTGCCCGAAGTCACACGGAGAGCGGCAGAGCCAAGATTTGAACCCTTCTCCCACCATCCCACGCTGCCTCCCAGGAAAATCAGAAATAAAGAATCCGTATCGGTGACAGCTTCAGGAATAACAGAAGTGGCAGGAAACGATGCCTTGCAACCAGCTTTCCGGGGCAGTCTTCTGGCTTTGGGGCACTCAGGGGCCAGCACGCACCTGCTGAAGGGCCTCCCAGGGCGTGATGGGGAAAGGCAGGGGACACTCCAGCTGGCTCACCCACCAGCCCTTTTTGGAGCTCTTCATTCAGGCCGCCAGCCCAGCCCCTTCCGGCTCGTGATCAGAAATAGCTGTGACAAAAGTCCCTCCCATCCCTGAAAGTAGCTTTTTAAAAAATGCTTAAAGGCAGACACACAAAAAGGTGGAGCAAACTCTACCAAACCCCAGCCGAGGGCAGATGATGGGAGCATCACCTCAGAGTAGTGGGAAAGCTTTCAACGGCAGGCAAGGTCTTCCCAACTTGGCTTTGTGGGTCAGCTCCCTCTGGGCCTCAGTTTCCCCACCTCAAAAATGAAAGTAACTCAACTAAATCAGCAATTTCTCTCTCTCTCTCTCTCTTTCTTTTTCTAAGCTGTAGAACCCTGTTTTCCAATGGAACCTTCCTCAGAAAACCAGTCTGGCAGTCGGGGAAATAGAGCTGCTATGGTTGATGGGGGCCAAATCCCAAGTGCTCAGCACCACCACTCACTGTCTCTAGAATTGCCCCGAGGCACCCAGCTCTGGATCCCCGGATTCCAAAGGGCCCCTCTGGGAACCATCAGGCTAAATGATCACTGTGGTCCCTCCTGGCTCTCAAGCAAAGTTCCGGATCACCCAACCACCAAGGAAAAACAAACCAAGCCCTTCATGCTGACTTGAGTCAGGGGTGCAGACACTTGGCAACCTGCACGGGGGGGAGGGAAACCCAGACAGTTCCAAACCATACTGGGCCTGGGGCAGGAGTGGGGGGAAGACTGCCAGTCCGTGAGGCAGGAAGAACAGCCCTGCCCCAGACCCCTTTGAGTCACAGACCAAAGTATAGGGCGAGTTGGGAGGGATCACCAAAAGGAACCCCCTCCTGTAAAGGTGGAGGACCTAAGGCTCAGAGAGGGCAGCAATTGGCCTGAGGTCACACAGCACCTAGTACCAGAGCCTGACCTGGAGTCTGGGTCTCTGAGAAACGATGCAGAGAAATCCCCACTTGTTTAAAGTTCAGACAGACTCAGCAGGAATCTCCAGGGAAAAGCCCCCGGCTTGCAAACTCAGAATAGGACATTTTGGTGGCACTGGGTGGTGACAGGACAGAGATGTTTGTTTTGGTTTCCAAATCAACGCTTGACAACCTTGTCGACGGTACAGTTTGGGCAACCACATTTCCCTCATGGTAAAGAGCTCAGAGCTGGTCGGCCCAAGGGAAAACCAGAGCCGTAGTGAACAGGGCCCAGGGCCCAGGGCCCAGGCCAGCGGCTCTGGTTTGGGTTGGTGGTGTTTCCAAAGCACTGTTCTCATACCACTAATGGCACCCGAGATGATGTGAGGGGGTATAGGAGTGACTCCTCACATTTAAATTCTCCTGACGGCATAGGTGGACCAATAAACAAACTGTCCTGTCTGCAGAGCGGAAAATTATTCACCAGTCTAAAGGAATGTAGTAGTGAAACATGCTACAACGTGGATGAACCTCCAAAACATTATCTAAGTGAAAGAAGCCAGACACAAAAGTGTAATTGCATTGATATGAAGTGTCCAGAAAAGGCAAATCTAGAGAAACTTCTCTCATGGACAGGGGACCAGAAGTGGGCTGGGAGCTCAAACTCAAGACTGTATTTTGTCAAAGCTGGGAAGACCTTTTGAGATCATCTAGCCCAGCGGTTTTTAAATTTTTTTCTTTTCAGTTGTTGAGATGCCTGCCCTCCTCCTGAAAGCAAATTCTCACAAGAAACCCAAATACAGAAACAAGTAAAAACAGAATGTCACTGGTATACATTTATACTGTAAGTTCACATACAGAACAGTGACCTATTCTGAACTCCATCAGTAAAGTTGATGAGGCTATTTTGATTCATTAACATTTAAAACTGGACCCACGGATGACAGCACCATATTGCGTTTAATTCTATCTCCAGTTTTGGCTGCAGCGTTTCACGAAAATCCTGACTCACACAGATAAGTGGCTACAAATGGGAATGGTTTTTAGCGGTTTGCTCTGCAATCTCAGAGTACTCTTCAGACAAATAGAGAAGGCAGGCGGGGTGGCTTTAACTTGAGGCCAACTACTAACAAGTTAGCAATTAACAATGAGTTGACATTAAGAACTTAAAAGTGAGCACGTTTTTATAACCCTATTAACACTGTAACATAATTTAAAATATTAAGTCTTACAGAATAGTCAAGGAACCCCAAGACCATCTCCAAGGAAGCCTGGGGTTTCAAGGAGCACAGTGCTAGCCCACTCACCCCTCACTTTACAGACAGGGAAACGGAGTCCCAAAGAAGGGAGTACACTTGCTTTGGAAAAACCAACTTGAGCCCTGAACTGACTTCGGAAAAGATGCACCTCCCCAGTTCACCAAAAAATGGAGGAAGAGAAGGAGTTCACACAGCCCAGGGGACGGGAGGAGGGGCACCCACACTCCACCTGCCCCAGCAGTGCCCGTCTCATTCCAGGCCAGCGCCAGAAGCTGACATCACACCCCACACCCTGGGTGCAACTTGAACAGAGCGTTGCTCAACACCAACCTATCTCCCTCTGAGATTGGGCACGGTTTTTCCATCTCCTGAGTAGCCAGGTCCAAAAAGAACACACAATAAAATAAACACAGCAGAAGCCTGAGGCCTGACGACACAATCAACAGTGGGAGACAGAAGGGCCCATCCCTCTGTGTTTCACCATTGAGAGCAAGTGCCTGCTCCCCTACCCCACCCCAGCGAAGCTTCCCTCAGAGACAGGTAGCCTCCCCCTGGCCACGGCGGGGCACCAGGCCATTCTCAAGTCCTCACGAGAAGACGGGCCCAGGAGAGTGGCTCGTCCCCAGCGGGGTGTAAGACCTCCCCACAGAGAGCCAGGCCCTGTGTGAGAGAGACCCAAGACTCTCCTCTCGGGACCTCAGCTCCATGCTGGCCTGACAGAGCCTATCATCTTTAATAACATCAACTGATTACTCTATCCCTTCCAAAAAGCACCACCGACCTACTCTCCCCTTCTGCAACTGGGGATAGATTTTATTATTCTTATCTGTCTAATGAGCAAATAGGTTTCCAAATGGTCCAACAATCTCCCTGGCAGGTGATGGAGGAGACCCATGCCCCGCTCCCTGAGCAGACCTCTGTGCTCATGTGAGCACCAGGACTCAAGGGCCTTCTCACAACACCCTCCAAGCCCTAGAGTTTGGAGCCGAGGCTCCCAATGCAGAGTTGCCCATGCCTGGGACAGCAGAGGGTCCTGCCCCCACCCAGGCCTGCAAGGCTACAGACAGACCCCTCTCCTCTTATTGGAAGCTAGCCATCAGTCCTGTCAGCCAGGATGCGGGCAGGAAGCAGCGTCAGTTTCCCAGCTGGGGAATAGGGACCTGGCAAGAATGTTCAGGCCAGTCCTGCAGGCAGTCTGCCCTGCACACTAGCCAGAGATGGTGGTCTGGGTCCAATCAACATCCAGTCTTCAGCCCAAGGTTCTCTCCTCCTGTGCGCCTTTAGGGCTGCGTCTGTTGGCACTCAATAAGCCATGACGGTAGGGGGTGGGGGGAAGAGGGGTGAAGAGAGGGGTTTTTGAAAGCCTGTGGCCAGTCTGATGGTAGTCTGGTTATCCAGACCTACCAACGGGACCTTGCAGAGCTGGAGCAAGATGGCAGACTCTGGCCCTAGTGGGTAGGGACAGATTTACCCATTTTCAAACACATGATCTCATTTCATTCAAGGGACCAAAAAAAAAGAAAAAAAAAAAGCCAGTGGGTCGGTTAAGAGTTTCTTCTTTTCACCCATGGAGGGAGGGGAGCCCACCTCCTACATCCTTGGGGAAATACCTATGGGAGACAAACTAGCCAAAAGTCGTTCAATTCACTAGTTTGAATCCTGGTTTCGCCACTATCGGCCAAGCCCCCTTTGGCAAGCCCCTTCCATCGCTGTGCCTCAGTTTTCTCATCTACAAAATGGGGATAAGAATGCCTTACACTCTGCGTTGGTGTGAGGATAAATGACATCCCATAAAACACCAGCGGTCATTATGTCACCTAGAAAACAACCGGCCCCGACCAATGACAGCACCGACGTGTCCCCTATGGTAGTAAGCACCCGCCCCCATTCTTGGAACTAGTAAGTGAGTTTTCCAAGCGTGTGTAGGGCGCTATGCAAACACAGCTTCCAGCACACCTGCTAGGACCAGCTGGCCGCCCCCAGCCCCTCCCGAACGCACGCATTCCGCGGCCTCCCGGACCTGGACGCCCCCTCCCCAGGAGCCGCTGGGTGGGGGGAAGGGCAGGTCCCCACTCACCTCCGCTTGTACTCGTCGCGCTCGCGCTTCACCTTGGCCAGCACGTTGTAGAGCGCGCGTATCTCAGGCGTGATGGTGTCGATCTGCACGCCCACGCCGTCGGGGTGCACCCACGACACGCCCGGGCCCTGCACAGTCTCCACGCCGCCGCCGCCCGTGCGCCGCACCTGCGTGTAGCTCCAGATGGTCCCGGGCAGGCGGCCGTAGTGCTGCGGGTGCGAGCCGCCGCCGGGGGGCAGGCCGCCCAGGGCCACGGTGTTGGCGTTGGCGCCCGCCGTCGCGCCGCTGCCGCTGCCGTGCCCCGCGCCGGGCGCTGGCGGCCGCAGCAGCTCGGGCCCGGTCTGCACGGCCTGCTCTCGGGAGAAGGTCTTGTAGCGCAGCCGCCGCTCGCGCTCGCTCTGCTGCTGCTCCAGCTGCTTCTCCAGCAGCCGGTTGCGCCGCTCCAGCTCGTGCACCTTGGCCAGGAAGCAGCGGAAGCGCACGTTGAGCCCCTTCAGGAGGTGGATGTTGGAGCCCAGGTCGTCCCGCAGTGCCGCCGTCACCGGCGACGGCCCCGGCCCGGCCCCGCCGCCGCCACCGCCACCGCCGGGGCAGCTCCCGCCGCCGCCGCCCGGCGGGCAGCCGAAGGCCAAGGCCATCTCCCCGAACAGCAGCGAGTTCACCATGCGCCGGCTGCGCGGCTCAGGGCCCCGGGCCCGCGGCTCCAGGTGCGGCTCCAGCTCCGGGCAGGGCTCCCGGCGCGGCCGGGCCAGGGCGGGCGCGGGCTCCAGCGCGGCCGGCCGGGCGGTTCCAGATGCGCGCCAGATGCGGCCTCCGCAGAGACGGCGGACCGGACCGCCCCCTGGATGTGGGCGCCGAGGCGAGGGACGGGACTCGGGCCGCGGTGGAGGCCGCGAAGGCTGCGTGAGGTGGTGCGGGCCGTGGGTCCCAGCGCCGCGGCTGTCAGAGACGCTGTGGAGGCGCCGCGGGAGCGGCGCGCAGAGGACTCTCGGCCGGCACTGCCCCTCTGCGGCGGGCCCCGCCCACTGCAGACACAGGCCCCGCCCTCGCCCTCGCCCCGCCCATCCCGCCTCCCTCTGCGGCGCTCCCGGAGCCCCAGGCCCCGCCCCCGAGGCCCGCAGCGCCGGGGCCCGCCCACCAGCCCGTGGCTCCGCCCACTCCCGCTCTCCGCCGCTTTCTGGGCTGGGTAGACCCGCTGTCTGCAGCTCTGGCTCCGCCCAGCTCCCGGCTGGACCACGCCCTCTCCCGCGCCGGGTCCTGCCGCCTGGCGCGGCTCGGATGCTTTGCGTAGGGACGCGGACCGCAGAGCTGCACCAGGCCCACGGTTAGCTGGAACCGCCGCAGAGTCAGCCCGGCCCCTTAAAGGGGCCGGCAGCCTGAGCAGCGCACGTTTCCCCGTTAGGGCGCCCCTTCCCCCCACGTCCTCTAACAAGGAGGCTCCGCTTCTCTCCTATCCCCACCCCGATCCCCCGGCCCTAAATTCCCAAGGCGTGTCCTGGAAGGGCTGGGGGGCCATGGCGTCCGAAGATGCATCCGCACCCCACCCCCACTCCAACCTGGGGCGGCCTAGATCGACCTTCCCGGGATAAGGCAGCGTTTCCGCCGGCACGTTCCCCACGTGGTGGACCCGGGCAGGCTCCTCCACCGCTTGCCCCCACCTATAGGCGCGAGCTTGTAGTCCCGAGATCGGCTTGGGCACTGCCGAGCCCGCCGGTCATCGGGCCCACCGAGGCGCCGCGCCGAGTGGCGGGTGGGGGAGGGGGGGAGACTGAATGAAGACCCTCCCAGAATATGACACCCAAAAGCTCAGCCTGGGCTGCTGCCCCTCCCAGCCCTGAAAGACCACCTCCCCACCACTGCACACTCACACGCTGAGATGCAGGGGACCCCACAGCTGGGGTACATTTCATCCAACCACTTAGGGGGCAGCATGCGGGCGGAACCAGTCGGGGGCTGAGCCAACCCGAGGATTCAATCATTCATTCGTTCGTTCATTCAATCTTTTCAGATCTACCACCCTAAAGACCCAAGTTCTCCAGCCTCCTGGAGTCTCTTGAACCAAATCGCAAATATCTATCATTATTTTCTTAATGATAATAATAGTTCTCATTATTGAGCGCTTCCTGTATGTCAGGTGCCATACATAGTTATTATCCCCATTTTACAGAGCAGGTCACTGAGACCAGAAGAGCAACAAGCCATCCCAAAGCACATGCTCTAACCCGCAATCCTACACTGCTGGCCTCTTGCGCATTTTCCCGTTTGATCCTCTCCATAAACCTCAGAGGGGAGGTGACCCACACCTTTGAATGCCTGTGGCTTTCGCTGTGTATACTTCATCAGACATGTGGCATGTTCCAGATTCTTCCAGCTGCATTTTTTGAATTGCAATTTAATTTTGTCTTACTAACTTTTGTGTTTTATCTCCTGTGTAAGCTTGAGGGCAGGTACAATCTTACAGGGACAATGGTTTGGTGTTCTCAGTGACAGAAGAGACACAAAGGAGACCTGGGTTTGCTCCGGGATGAGGCTGTGGTTGTTGTGTTCATCTGATGCTTTTGATTTGGTCACAAGAGCAAACCCTCCCCGTGTTTCCTTCCCTCAACCACAGCTCCTTGCTCCCTGCCAAAATGGGTTACTTTACAACACTCAGCACCGAAACTCACCTGTTTTAAAAACCTTCCTCGGCTTTGCCCCACCCAGTGTGGTCACTGTTCTTCACTCTTTGTTCTCTCAGCTCTTGGGGATTTTGTTCCTCTAACCTAAAGAATCAAACCCCCTTGGCCTTAAAGCAGGAGTTCCGGACCCCCCCACCCAAGAATTCATGACACTGAGATGGACAAAAGTTATATCTTTATTTTCACTAATCTCTAAACGGTATTTAGCATCTTCTTTGATCATGAGTGCAGGCAACCAGTAGAAGTCCCTGAAATTTTGTCACTAATAGAAATCAAAGATATTTTCCTATCAATAACTACGGTTACTGTAGATATCTCAAAATTCCATTTAAGCTATCACAACTCTGAAATTAAGATCGTATTAGACTCACCGCTAAATCTTATTATTTAACATGTTAGTAAAGCAGCACATATGTTACTATATCACAAAATTTTTTTAAAATATTTTGGTAACTGTATTTTACTAAAAAAAATTTTTTATTGTAATCCTAACACTATTTTTTTTAATTATTCTGAAAAGAGGCCCACAGGCTTCACCAGTCACCCAAGGGGCCTGTGGGACAGAAAGGGTTAAGAAGCCACACCTGGGGAGTGGCTGCCCTACAGTCCTGTTCCAGGTAGGATATGTCCTACCTAGTAGCATTGCCCTAGAGTTGGGGTGTCGGAGGGGGGGAGCACCCAGCCCTGTCCTGGACATTGGAGAGATTCAGACATTCCATGATCATCCACTGAGCACTTGCTTCAGCACAGACCCTGTGCTAATAGGAGGCAAGAGTCTAAGGAGTCCCGGGAGAGCTAACGAAAACAACCAAAAAGATCCTCCTGTGGCGAGGGGTTGGTGAGGAGGGGTGCAAGAGGGGATACCTGGCCTGGAGGAGGTGGCTGAGCAGAGACCAGAAGATCTAAAGGAAATGGGGGAAATGGTAACCAGGCTGAAAGGAACTTCCAACAGAGTGGTGGAAATATGATATGTACCAACGAAATGGCTAGAAAATAGTGCTGTGGCCACATAGGAGCAAAAATGAGAAGCCATATGTCTTGCTCTTTGTGGGTAAGATGAGAGGGGAGGCTAACCTAATGTCCTTCTAATCAGGTGACCAACTGTCTTCATTTGCTCAGGACCAAGGCTTCCCCCTGATGCAGGGTTTTCAATGCTAAAACCAGAAAGTTCCAGGCACACCAAGACAAGCCCATGGAGCTCTGGAGACTTCTGAGGCCAGAAGTCCTGGTCATCCATGTCAGCCAGATGGAGCTCGGAGAGCAGCAAGCCTGGAGCTCCCAGTTTACAGACAAGAGAATCAACGTCCAGAGAAGGGTAGGAACGAGCCCCAGGTCACCCAGAAAATTAGTGGTAAAACTTGGGCTAGCATTTTGGTCCTACTCCCTGGCCGGTGTTCAGTCGTACCCCAAGCTGCTCAGTGAGGTTAGTGTTTCCATCCCCTCAGCCCTGGACACCCTCACCTCCCCCACCCATCATCCAAAGGGAATGCAGGTGGGTCCTCACTGGGTGGGGGGATCACTCACATAGACAAAGGAATATCCCCAAGAGGGATGCCAGCCTCCTTCCACCTGCTTAACAAGGATGGGTTTTCTCATCAGTGAAAAGGGCATAACTTTACCCATGAGTCCCTTTTTATAACCTCTGCCTCTCGTCACGGCAATCCTGCCTGCTCTGGCAAAGTGCTGGGGGCACACGGTTGCTGAATGAATGGCTAAAAGAATTAATAAATGAAAGGACAAACAACTTCATTTTCCCCACCCCACTCCCCTGCCATTTCACCTGGTAACTACCCCTCAACCTGCAGGTGCCAAACTCATGCATAAAACCTCTGCCCTCCCAGAACCCTCCAGGTCTGGGGTGGAGTGCTTCCTTTAGGCTCCATTAGCACCCCGCCTATCCCGTAACAGGTCCAGGTACACTCTCTTGTCATTGCTGGCTTTTTCATCTGCATCTCTACCCCATCCTGCCCCAACCTTCCAACATTTGCCAGACCAACTTACATAATTCACTCATTTCAATGGATTTCAGTAAATTTACCAAGTTGTGCAACCATCACTATAAATCCGTTTTAGAATATTTCATCTCTCCCAGTAACATCCCTAGTGCCCATTTACTATTATTCCCTCTTTCCACCTCCTACCCCAGGCAACCACTAATCTACTTTCTGTCTCTATGGATTGGTCTTTTCTGGTCATTTCATATAAATGGAGTCATACAATACGTGGTCTTTGTGTCTCGCTTCTTCCACTGAGCATCATGTTTTTGCCATGTTGTAGCCTTCCGGGATGATCATTCCTTGTTATTGACAACCTCTTTTTAGATTTTGATAGTTTGGATCCTTCATTACCTTACTCTTCTGCACTTCAGTTCCTCAACTGGAAATAGGACCAAGTATGAATATTTCCCTCCCAGGGTGAGTGTCAGGGTTAAATGAGTTCATACATGTAAAATGGGCATGTAGTCAATGCTCAATAAATATTAGCTATTAGCACCATTAATTTTTTTTCCATTTTGCTTATGCGCCTACAAAAAGCCCACAAATATATAAAGAGGTAGGGGGAAAAAGCGTCTCTCACCATCCCACACCCAGGGACCCTCTCTGGCATCTCAGATCAGTGCTGCTGTGAGGGAGAATAAACTGCTCCCTCTCCCTGCATCCCCCACCCGACCCCCTCAGGCTGCAGCTTCTAGAACATTCCCATCAGGTTTCTTCCTGATAAAACAAAACAGTGCAGTAAAACATGATGGCACAGAAGAAAGGGAGTGGCTGAAAGCCCCGTATTAATTCTTTCAGCAGCACAGGCAAATTCTTGAGATGTCCTGTCTCTCCTCCCAGAAAACAATAATGACAACAACAGCCAAAAAAAAAAAAGAAGAAGAAGAAGAAGGCTTGGCAGAAGGGCGACTCTGGCTGGGCCCATAGTAGCAGCACGTTGCGAGGCCTCACCCCTCCTGGGCACCTCCGGGCTTATAAGCGGCTTAAGCTGCATGTTGTCTCGACAATTATTCTGGGTGGGTTTGCCTTCCTCGAAAAGGGCGTGGGTTTCACCACCGTCAGGCGCCAGAATGTCCCACTGGCTGTCCAGACAGCGCTGATCTTGGTCAGCAGCCTTGGGGGGGCCCCGGTTGCTTCCAGCGCCTTCTCCAGGCCTGTCTCATGAAGGCCAGCCTGGGCTGTATGACAGTGGGGTGATGAGGAGGGGATCCAGAGCCAGGCTCCATCGATTAACCCTGTGACCGTGGGCAAGTCACTCAACTGCTCTGTGCCTCGGTTTCCCCCTCTGTAAAATGGGA